AAGTAAAGGAGGGAAAAATAAAAGGCATAGGAGTGGAGACATTGAATGGACACACAAAAAAGTGAAGAAGGGAAAAAGAAAACTAAAATAAATTTTGGGTAACAAGCAATTGATCAATATTAGAACTTACACAACATCCTGCAACAATTTCTCCCCAAAGAGGTATATTTCCATTTTTGTCCATAAGTTTGTCCCTTACTAAGTCATTCATCTAAAAAAAATTATTTCAAATCAGTTAGGGTTTCTGGTTTAAACTGATGATAAAAGATTTTCTGTACATCTTAAAGGGCATCAAGAAATTGTAGGTAAATATAGTGTAATATAAAACTTACCGTTAGTTTTATAGCCTTTTCGGGGGCCACACCCAAAAGTTGCGGTACCAAACCCCTATACAGTCCAAACACACCCTCGTGCCTAATTACTTTTTTAAAACAGTCAATGCTGTTCCTGTACATCAATTCTCCGATAAAGGAGCCAGCTCTTTGGTTCTGCATACGCGTTTTTACCAAATCTATTGGGTATACCGCCGTAGCACCGACAGCTAAAACATGAGAAATCGCGTAATTTTTGAACATCAATGTTACAAATAAATATACTCATTTGATCCGTAATGTTAAAAGATCGTTAAAAAAAAAATAGAAGAAAAATGTGAAATACGGCTTATCGTAAGAGCATGGAGAATACGCACAAATAACGGAACAAATAAATATACTCATTTGATCCGTAACGTTAAAAAATCGTTAAAAAACAATAGAAGAAGAATGTGATAATACGGTTTATGGTAAGAGCATGGAGAATACGCGCAAATAACGGATTTGTTTTTGAAAATATATTGTTTTTAACATAAAAAATTAAAAATGAAAAAATAAAAATTATCCCAAATAAACACTCATTTGATCCATAATGTTAAAAGATCTTTAAAAAAATATAAAAATGTGATATTACGGTTTATGGTAAGAGCATGATGAATGCGCAAAAACTATTTTTTTTGGGAAAATTTAATAAATATGAAAAATAAAAAATACCGTTTATGTAAGGGCATGTAGAATACACGATAATAACGAATTTTTTTGGAAAATATTTTTTTTTGACAAAAAAAATTAAAAATTCAATAAAAAAAAAGTATCCCAAATAAATGTGAATAATAATGTTGAAAAATCGAAATATTAGAAAAATGTGATACGGTTTATAGTAAGACCCAAAAAAATCCTAAAAAGGAAATTAAGAAAATGACCGTTTATGGTAAGAGCTTGGAGAATAAGCACACACGAATTTTTTTTTTGAAAAATATTTTTTAACGCAAGAAAAAATAAAAAGAAATAAAAAATAAAAATATTCCAAAAAAATTTAAACGAAACAAACTATTTCGTGCTTTCGAGTAAAATTCAAATATTAACCTATTTAAAAAATATTTTTTTTTTAGATTTGTAGTAATTAATGTTTTAAATATGGAATTATAGAATATTTTAATAAAGTAATACCTCTTGTGGAAAGCAAGAGCATAAAAAATCAAAGAAAAATAAACTTGGTGTACTTTTCTTTTGTATAAAATAGAAAAAAATAGGTACTTACCTCCGGCTATAGAACCCAACGCAAATCTGTATGTACTTTCTAAAATTTGTATGACAACTCCTCTATCTTCAGGGCTCTAAAACAAAAAAAATTATTTAACAGCTCTTGTGAGCTGAGACGTTGATTTGGCTACAAAAATGAAGAGCCCATCGCAAAAAATCCAAGGATCAAATTATTTTAGGGCAAAATGAACAACCACTAATTGCTAAACACCACACTAACCATGGTTTTACTCAGACTTCAAAACAACAACAAACTTCAGTACTACATTTTTGGAGGGAGTTCAAAGAGATGCAACCTTTGTTATTGTTAAATAAGACACTGGCAGCTTTAACAATAACTAAGGTTGCCTTTGTCTAAACTCCCTCTAAAAATGTAGCACGGAAGTTTGTTAATATTTTGACATCTTTGTAAAATAAGAGCAAAACACGGTTGATCTAATGTTTAGCAAATATTAACTGATTATTTTTTAATTCTATTGTTGAGGCAGGTTCTGTCTGTAAGAACTAAAAATGTATTATCAACTAATTTCTCTAACTTACCGAAACAGCATGAATTTCCGCCAATCGATTCGTAATCTGTTTAAAATACTGTTCGGGCGCTATCGCATAGAGGTCGTTGTAAACAATCCGCCTGAAAATGCAAAAAGAAAAATCCAAATTATCCCAACGAGAAAACTATTAAAACGACAAAAACACGAACCCATCCCAAGCGTCCTTTGCTTCCTTGGACAAATAACTACGTTCCAAACGAGCAGCATAATAAAAAAACATTCAAAATGATATTTCACCAAAATCACCGGTATCTAAGGATGTTACTTACAATGTGTTCAATGTTTCAAAGGCGCCAATTTTAGTTCCGAGCATTCGAAATGATTTTATTAGTTTACGATTATACGATAATTTGTCACTAGTGCGGCTAAAATAATTTTTTTCTTTAACGTGGGATACTTCATTGTTTGGAAAAACAATGGAAAATATTAAACCCGCCGATTGAAGAAAATTATACGAAAAAATCGAGAAAAAAACTTTCACATTGTAACTTATGAATCGTTAAGTGGCAATGAAAGAAGCTTAAAACCAAAATTTCGTATTGTGCTATAACATTTTTATTTGAAATTGATTTTTCGTGAGAACGAATTATTTTTTCTTTGATTGATAGTTAATTATTTGGAAAAACCATGGAAAATATTAGACTAACCGATAGTAGAAAATTAATTTCACTGAAAATAGAAAAAAAAAAACTTAAACACGATTGTAACTTAGGAATCGTTAGGTGACAATGACAGGAGTTTAAAAACAAAATTTAATTTTGTGCTATAATATTTTTGTTTTAAAATTGATTTTGTTTATTGAAAATTGGGAAAACCATGGACAATATTAGACCAGCCGATATAAGAACATAAATATACAAAAAATCCGAAAAATATGAAAAAAGAAAAAATAAATATAAAAAGAAGAGGGCGCCAAAGTTCCTAAAAAAACTCGTTCTTGCCAACTTTAACTACAACTTTTGCATGAAATATTTTTGAACAAAATGAAGAAGTACGAAGGCGTAAAAGGGACAAAATACATTTTTTACATTCGACTCCGAAGTCGAAGAGCCGACTTTAAACTCAAAATTTCGAGTAGTTTGAAATCAAAATTTTGAAATTAAAGACAAAATTCCGAGTTTAAGGTCGAAATGTGAATTTTATGGACTTTGGACTTTTATCCCGAAATTTCGACTTTAAACACGAAATTTCAACTTGAAGTCGAAAATCAGACTTTAAATTCGAAATTTCGACTTTAAAGTTGAAGTCTAAATTTCCAGTTAACATCGAAATTTCGAGAATAAAAAAAAATTCGACCTTCAAAGTCAAAATTACGAGTTTAGAGTTAAAGTTCCGAATTCAAAGTTAAATTTCAAGTTTAAAGTCAAAATTTGGATTTTAAAGTGGAAATTTGGACTTCAAAGTACAAATTCCTAGTTTAAAGTTGAAATTTCGAGTTTAAAGTTGAAATTCCGAGTTTAAAGTTGGAATTTCGACTTTAAAACGTCGAAATTTAAAAATACACATATATTATGTGGCCCTTCTACGCCTTCGTCAACAAAAAATTGAACAAAAAATGCATTTTAGCCACACTCATTATTCTTTCAATACAAACACATCTTCAATAAAAAGCACTTACCCGGTTTGATGAAGCACATCGCACAGATGAAACAGTATCTCGACTTCTAGCGGTGTCATCTGCGACATGGCTTGCGCGCTATGCATAAACTCCTCTTTGCTGACCTCCTGCGTCCTGTGTCCGTGGGTGACGTTCAGATAAATGCGTTTTACAAGCTCCATATTATTCAACAGCGAGTTAAATGCGATAAAGTAAGGAAAACTTACGCGACTGCCGCCTTGCGATTGAGACGCTGCCTAGAAAATTCAGATTAAGACGAGCTCTTCTATGTTGTTAGGTTTTAATTTACCTCGATAAGATGCGACTGCACCTGCTTGGTCAGAAGGTGGCTCTTGATGCTAGTCATGATTTCCTGAAAATCCAAAACAGATATAAAACCCGTACCGTTTTTTATCCGCCCTTCTAAAACCTTCAATCGCGTACTCTTCGTGGAAGTCGTGCAAGAACTGCGAGAATTCATTGTAGCTGACTAAGCGTTTCTTGTCTTTTCCGAAATACAATTGGATGAATGGCGAGTCCATGTTGAAGGGAATTTTCATGTGCAGTTCGGTCTTGGTCATTACCTCAACGAATTCCTCTGGAAAGTTAATGAATCTTTAGGAACTACAACATGGAATAGTTTGGAGACTTAAAATATGATTTTTTTTGGATCTATAATTTTTTTTTAAATTAGTTTTGATTTGATATCATATTTAAAAATCTGTAAATAGCAGAGAGGTGTGTTCTCATCTCAAGTTCAGGAATATCATCTCAGGAAATTACATTTGTAGCTCCAAATTTTGAAATACTAAGACAACATTAATAAAAGAAGCAGATCAAACCAATGATGTTTTAAATTGAAAATGTTTTGTTTATTCATAATAAATGAATTTGTCCGATAAAGTTTATTGTTCCAAAAAAATATTTTTTTTTCAACAACCATTTTTCTCGAATTTTAATTTATGTCTAATATACCACCGTTCAGTATAAGACTGCATAATATTTTTCATACATTATTTTCACATAGGCAGATCAAGCACGAGAAACAATGAGCAATGGACAAGGGCGATTTTACTTTGTTGGTTGTTCGATTTGCAGGGTTCTTTTCCATAGAATTTTGAAAAGCTACATTTTTTAAATATTCAAGATAGTTTCATCTTGAGTTTCGCAAAGAAATTCCTGGACTTCTGAAGGAACTCACTATAACATCTGTCAGGCGATCGTTGGCTACTAGTCTAGAACTTCCACAACGTATTTGTAATGACATACAGCTATTAAAAAGAACAATTTGTGAGTATTGGTTTGACAAGTAGAAAATATAAGATATTTACGAGTTTTAAACATAATCATACCTCGCAACAATAAATAAAAATACTTACGAAAACTAACCATTCCATTTCCGTTAGTGTCAAATAATTGAAAGGCAGTTTTATATAAGGCGTCCGGAAAGCAGAGCAGTCCTTCGAAAGCCTGAAACTCCGAATACGAAATGAGTCCATCCTTGCTGGTGTCTACAATAGCGGCCAAAAGTCGAATGGTGTCTGTATTGTAGTTTTTATCGTCTAATAAACGTAAATATTTTATTACGAAATCTTCGGCTGTCATAAATTTCTCGCCATCCTTTTCTAAGGTCGCGTATCTGTTGAAGATGTCATGGAGTAGCGATTCATTTGCTCGTCTCAAAAAACCGCCACCCTGAAATAGTCGAAAGTCACGATTATTATCTGCATTTAGTCCGGGTTAATGTGTCAGTTTTCTGTTACATACAAAGATTTCGGTAAGAATAAATACATGTTAAAAACATACATATCTTTAACCGTAAATACGATCTGAATACGCCTCTGTGCAGGCACGCGCTTGCAGACACAAAATACCGGAAGGTATTTCCATGCAATAATATGTAAGGCACGCGCGAATTTCGAAATGTCGGCGCTCTTTTTTTATAAATTTATCGAAAAAAAATCATCTTCCTTATAAGTTGATTGCCTGAATTATTAATAAGTAACATGAGCTACCATGACTACAAAACAAATGAATTTAAATACAAACCATCCTGTCAGTTAATCATAATCATATTTTCTTTCTAAATAAAAAACTTTGAACCTTCAACAATAAAATACAACAATGTGGCAAAATTGCAAACTCAATTAATCGATTATTTTCAATTAATAAAAAATAATCGATAATTTATTTTGATAATCGCCCGGCCTTAGTTGTACCTACTCCTTTCCCAGTCTGGTTTATGATACGGACAAACATTGTATTGTTTAGACAATGTGCAGACAAGTCTATCGTAGATAATCTCATGTTATGGTCTTTTCTGACCTTTTAAAATATTTATTTATACCCGTGGCCATTAATACACGCTAACCATAGTTTTCTAATGTAAGAATTAAACCATTTTATATCTATTTTTCATAAATTTGATAACAATCCAACTAGAAAGACAAAGAAACTCTTCTTCCAAAATACCTTTGGGCTCTGAGGATGCAAATGTCATATATCGTCGTACTACAAAGGGCCGATTCCACCGTTGTTGTTAAACGAAGATTAAAATGACATTTTTACATTACCAAGGTCATTTTAATCTTTGTTCTGTAATTTAAACTTCCTTTAACACAACGGTGGAATATCGACCCTAAGTAAATGGTACCAGAAGGCGGAGCCTCAGATAAACAAATGAAATATAGATAAGTAATGGTCTGGATTTTTTGAAGGCAGTATCTACCTTTATTTCTATTACTTTCTCTTTCCCCTGGGTCTTTGATGTGATTCGTCTATTTTAAATAGCAGCGCCAAATTTAGTCACAACTGTCAACAAGCACTTGGGAATTGTCAGTTTTGTTTGTACATTTTGTGTGATTTTATATTCTCAGGACAAGTTTTTAGAGTTTCTAGTATGTTTTTTTTTAACGAATTTTATTAGTTGTAAGTTTAACAATTACTATTCAATGTTTTGTTTGTTATAAAACTACAACAGTTTCTTGTATCATCTGAAAATTAGCAATGAGAATGGCGAAAGCCAAAAGCACTCTGCTAATTTAGTAAAAAGTAAAAATAATTTTATACAAAATACAAAACAGGATTGTAAATACTTATAATTCATTTTAGGAAAAATTTACTTCCTACTGAATGTAGTGAAAGACATGAGTTTATAAGAGATTTATTTATTATACGCCGACACTCGAACGACGGATATAACTACTGAAATATTATAGAAAGTTTCTAGACACTTTGAAACACACTATACATAATTTTGGGTCCGCTGACACTAAAAAAATTTGTTTTCCTTAAAATCCTTAAATTTTGCTGTCGGGTCTCCATCATAAAACAAATGTGAAATAAACCATTTTCACTGATTTCTTGTTGTAGAAACGGCTAAATATCAATATTAGACCATTCATAGAGCAATAAACCATACCAAATTTTTTCATAAACGATCAAATTTTTTAATTTTTCATTTTTAGTTTGTTAGAAAAACAAATAGACAGTAAATTATTTTCAATGACAATTGACGTTTCTAGTTTCTACAAATGCGGCTTTGCCAAATCGAGTAAGAAAACATATAAGTCCGGAAATAATTCGGTTAATGAAAAATGGCTGGAAAATTACATAGTGTCTGGCCAGCAGGCGAATTTGGATCCCGAAGTGAAAACATTTGTAGTAATCACAGACATCCGTCTTTTTATTTCATTTCATGATGATTGTGCGTTGGCATGTCGGTACTTATCTAATATTTGTAAAAAATACTTATGCCGGTCGGCATAGCCAGGCATAAGTAAACATTTTATGATGGCTGCGAAGCCGGCACCCTACAATAAGTCGTTGCTTCGTTTTCTTATTGTATATCAATATTGACGTCGAAGAGTACTCTGCCGATAAGGGCGAGGAAGAAGATCTTGATATGGGTATTTTTTAAATTGTTAGTTTTATATAATTTTTCTGATACTAAAGTCAATTGGTTGGCCTGGTGCAACACAGGGCATAGGTAAAAATGACCATTGCTATGTAATAATTGATATGGCAACATTGTATTTCTTTTACACACATGTCACACTGCAATGTCAATTGTCATTGGGTTCATGAAAATTAGATAATCTTGACGAACTTTAACTGGTCGTAAATTAAGAAAATAAACTGTTTATGAAAAAATTTGGAATGGTTTATTGCTTTATGGGTGGTCTAGTATTATTATTTAACAGTTTCTATAACAAGAAATTAATCAAAATGTAGTTCAAATTTTTTCAACATCGAAATTAGAGGAAACATTTTAAAGTTTGAAGGTAAGAAAAAAATATTTTATAGCGTTTGCAGGACAAAAAAAGTATTTTGAAATGTGTTTCAGAGGGTATAAAATGGTCTTAAAAAATAGCCCGTTCGACTGTTGGCGGTAGACAGTTGGTGACATATGAAAAACTTTTTTTATTATTAATATTAGGAAAAAAGTTATTCTTCATCAAAAGTCGAGCATCGTCTAAAATCTAAAATACAACCATCGGATATCAAATTTTATCAGTCGCATATGAGGTTTGTCAAAAATAAAGGTACTTTACTCTTCAACAAAAATCATATTGTTTGACAAACCTCGTATACGGCTTAAAAAATATCTGATAGTTGTTTTTTAAATTTTAGACCATGCAGAACTTTTTAACAAGAATAAATTTTTTTACAAAACCAATAATAAAAAAGTTTTCCATATGGTTCCAACTTGTAGGTGTAACAAAATTATTAACATTTATCTACCTATAAACAATATTAACAGTGTAATCATTTGAAACCTATTTAATTATAAATATCGTTTATTACATTTGAATAAAAAATAGCAGAATTTATTTTTTGTAAAATAAAATTTCATGTTTGAATAGCATTTTTCTTTAAATGTGTCCTTGACAAAATATTTAAAAAACAATCCTTTGGATTCTGATGAAAAAACGATTTGATACGCCCATAGAGATCACAACTGTCAAACGTTCGTATATACTGGCTTCCACGTACTTTGATTACTATACGGTGCAAGAGAGAGGTTCGACACGCCCAACATAGGGCGCGGCCATTTTGATGCCTTTACCACAGTTTATAGCTAAAGAATCAATTCGCTCACTCTGCGTCGGCACTTTTGATCTCAATGTTCCAGTTGATACACTGCGCAACTCGGATAATGGAATATATGACAACCGCCTATAATAAAACAGCAGTCTTCTGCGCATCCTGAATTTGTATCCCTGGAGTGGATGTTATTTTGGAACTTTCAACTGTCCCGAGTGAGCTAACTGATTCTTTAGCAATAAACTGTGACTCCAAAAATAAATATTCACCGACACTGACAGCAGCAAGCAAAATATTAAAAATATTGCGCCAAGATGTAGGTAACACGTAATAAGGCATCAGAATGGCGGAGTTTTCTATCTCCTTTTAAAAGGCACTCAGAAAGCTGCGCAGTGAGACCATTCCCCGTATAGTAAGAGAAAATCAAAGTATGTGCCTCTCGGATCCCATTTCTTCCAATTTTAAGCAGGATTATCGCTTTCTTTTTGAAATTGCCTCTATGAGCTACGTTAATACCTTCAATTTGAACATTATTTTACTTTTATTTTATTTAATAAGTTTTTGTAATTTTTTTGTTTCGTTTTTGGTGTTTTAATTTGTTATTTGTTTTGTTTGTTGTATTTTTTTTTTTTTTTGTTTTTTTTTTTTTTGACATAAATATTAAAAATCTTGCAGGCTTTAGATTAACACCCGTATGCATAGTCGATCGCTGGCGAAAGTCCGAAAAGGTAGCGACTTGCTGGATATTGTCACCGGCATCTCTCGCATGTCATCCATGATTCATTTCTAAAAACTCAAATAAAATGAACGAATATCAAATTTTTCCCCATAAAAGAACATGAAAACTAATTTTTTCTATAAAATAACATGAAAACTTGCGAGAGATGACATGCCGGTGACAATGTCCAGCAAGTCGCCAGTGATTCGCCAGGTATACATCTCGGCGGCACAGGATAAAGAACAATACAGAAAAGAAACGTAGGGCTAAAACAAGAACCTAGCAACCGAAGCCACACCTTCTTCATGGTGGAGCATTGTCAAAATTGAACCGTAGATTTGTTACTTGTTCTAAGTGCAACTGTGCACACTTTTATAGCAGATGAACGAAGCTGTCACTGCTGTCGCTGTTAGAAAATCAATATTTTTTCCTGTCGTGTCTTTATTTGTCGTTTTGGATTTTTGGTTGTTTTTAGCGAACATTCTGATATCTTTTACGTTTTTTTAGTGGTTTATTTTTAGTTTTTGTTGATGTTTTTAATTGTGGAGTTGTTAATTTAAGACTTTATTGTACGTATTAAGATTAGGTTTACAAACAATGCTGCATCAAAGAGGAGGAGGAAATGCTTATATTTATCGTGGATGTACCTCAAGAACAGGTGGCAAAGAAGGATTGTTCACTCTTGTGAAAGATCCAGTGAGGTAGGTATGAAACCTTGAGGGTGAAATAGGAATTGACCTTGCCATAACATGGTAGTACAATGATTGTATGTATTTTTCAGACTTGAATTGTGGCTTAAGGCAGCAAATAGAGAGAACTTATTGGGAAAGGGTGTTGAACACTTAAGTAAAAATTACAAAATTTGGGAACTACACTTCCAGGATAAATTCGTTTATCAGTCAGGAACAAGAAAACGATTATTTGCAAATGC